GTTTTTCGACAGATGTAGAAGGCGATTTCAACTGCTAGAAGTGCTTATTTGTGCAATATTATGATATCATTATTTCTTTTTGGTGCAAATAATTTGAATACATAAAGATAATATATATTATTATATTATATATAATGTGTAAATATCCAATAATGTAGGTAAATTGCAGTTATTGTGTTTGCGTATGAGTTCAATTAATTACGCACTTGTTTTCTACTCTGATGGATTTAATATGCATTTAAGTAAACTTTTTCTTTACCAGGAATTTTCATTCCACATTCTCAAAAATAAAATGCCGTCAAATAAATTTTTGCTTTTTTAACAATTTGTATTCGAGCTCAATTTGTTTGTGAATTGTGTGGACATATTAATTAAAAGTATTTTTTATATTGTGATTCTGAAATTGTAAAAAATAAACATCAATGCATATTAATTGAAACATGAACCTTATAATTAAATTGTCTGCTCGAAGCTGCACAAAAATGTATTTTATTTTAAAAGGAAAGAAAATAAAATAGATTTCGTTTTTGTTGAAAAGATGTTTCATCCCATTTAATTTAAAATTGTTTTATATTATATATCGAGTGTATTTTGCATTATATTATAAAAAAAAAAATAAATTTGGTTTTAAGATTTGATCCACTTATTGTTCTTAAAAAGATTCAATAAATAATTTATAAATTGAAAAAAAAAAATGTAATCATTATTACATACTTGAGCACATTTACTCTCTATTAAATGCGAGCTTTGTTCATAATCTCTCTCTACGGTTTGAAAACCTTGATTGGGAAAAATAAATCTGATTGCTATTTATGATGCATGGTGAAATGAAGTTAAAACTTTAGTAAATTTACTTGATTTAGTTCTTAAATTGAATTGACATTTCTATCCACAACATATCAAAACATTTCATGTACCATAGAAATTAAATAAACTTTTTAATATTCAAATTTAAATTCAATTATAAAACTGTAACTAAAACATACGGTAAATGAAATTTATTTGGTAAATATATTTTTTTAGACGTCACTCAAGATCATCAACAAAAGAGGCAACTTGTCTTAAAAAGATGTTACATTCCTTGCCTAGAATATCCTTTTCAGTACACTTTTAAAATATTTCGAATTCGTAACTTTCGTAACCATTCTCCTTTGCGTCCAGAGCCCAGTTTGCTTGCAATAAGTATAATTTAAACTTATTTTGTACAAAAACATAAAATGGAATAAAAAATATTTAAAATTTAAACAAAACAAGAAAACAACAAAATTTAACAAATAAAGTGCTTAAAGCAATTTATGAATTGGGTTGAGTGGAATTTTCAGTTGGTTTAGCATTTCGCTTCACTTTCGGTTTCTGGCACTTGAAAGGTTTTGAGGCGTAGCAACAGCTAAGTTAGTAGGTTGGACATCAAATTACGGCAAGTGATGGTACATTTTCGTAAGAATTTGAAATCTTATTTATTTATACGTGTTGACGATGCACAGAAGCGTTACTATAGTATATTATACTGTCCAAAATTTGTATGCCGTATAAACACGTTGAAAACACTTGAAACTGCTTCTAACCTTTTTCAACAATTTTAAAATATGTCGTTATAGTCATTTGTTACATGCAAAACAACAAAGTCCTTGCCATAACAATACTGGGCCTATGTAACTCTCACAGAACTTAATAACGTCTTACTTGAGTGTAGCACTTTAAATGGCACATAAGTGTATTGATCACCTTTACACGTTCGACTTCCCTAAGCAGTAACCTTTTTTCTGTTCAATTTCGTTTTTACTGTTATTGTTTACGTCTTATGTTTGGGAACTTTAATGTCGGCCCTATTTGAAATTCATGAAATTTTCGTCAAATTACATTCGGAACCACCTACATTCTTTCACTTAAGATACTTTCCCTTACTTTCCCTAACTTGTTTGAGCGCTTAACTGAAATTGTTTTCTGATTTGAGTTTACAAATTTATTCCGTAGTCGTGACATTTGTTTTACATTTGACCCACCAAAAGATGGAATCTTATTCAATTATTTATGAACCGTTTTGGCTTACTTAAGCGGAACACTTTGCTTAAGAATAGAATAAACAGGATTGATTATTTAAATTGAGTATGATTGAATTTATTTATGATTGTTGTATGTCTTTATGGACATTTTGAAGATATTTTCATACCATGTAAGTATTATTTTTCATTTAAAAACAGCAATTTATGCAATATATGAGTATGTTGAAAGATAGTTTTATATATTTAATGTTGAAGATAATAATTTATTCTGTCATCATATAACACTCCGACCATGTTTTTTTTTGTATCATATCTTGAAAATTCCAAGATTATCTCATCGAAATAAATGCTCATTAAAAAAACCGATATAAGCGTAAGAGTTTGTAAAGATCATTGGATTATATTGACATTATAAGAAGTCCAAAGTATAAGGAAGAAAATTCTTAGATTATCTCATCGACATAAAAGTTCATTAAAAAAAAAATCGATATAAGTGTTCCGATCAAATACTGGATTGTAATGACATTATAAGAAGTCCAAAGCATAGGGAAGAAGTCAATTTTAAAATATTTTTATGTTATTTATTAAACATGAATGAAAGTAGTATGTAGTCGATATATGATTGGTTTTTTTAATTTTCCTTATAAAAATCTGTTTTCCTTTACACGAAGCAAATATGTGGAGTTATTGGATCGCTGGAAAAGTTGTTTCGTTTTTTCAAACCGAAGACTTTTTTACACTGAATAAGTTCGTCTTTCTCAACTAAAATGTTTGTGCACGGCTTCAACACTAACGAATGGAGAGAAGCATTGCCATTTATATAAATCTGTGGTAAGTAAATTTCATTAGGATCTATGCTAAGAATAATCTCTAGATTTCAGATCTCTTTTGATTAGCTTTTGTATCCAACTTATTAATACCATACACCAAAGTCTTATTGACTTTAATTTATTAAGTATTTTGATAGCTGATACAAGAAAAAATATGACCGAAAAAGTTTATGTTTTATAAAATGTGGGCCTTTAAAAGTAGTTCTATCCATATATTTTACATTTTCCCATTAAGAAATGCAAAAATGCAGTTGAAGTAGAAAAAAAACTATTGTATGAATATGGTTGGTTGGTTGCAGTGGCAGGCCATTAGATAACTTTCATGTACCCCATTATCCGCAAGAACCCTAATATAGAAGAGTAGAGACTAAATCCGTCCTGCCGAGTTTAGATAATTTAATTGGGCTTTCGTCTTCACCAATGAACAGTCTGAAAAACTATCAAAGAAGTATCTTCCTTAGAACCTATATCTTTTGCTTGTCAAATCTGAGCATTCACAGAGAAAATGTTTTATGGTTTCTTTTTCCTGCGAGTTTCCACAACTTCTGCGGTGAGGATTATGAGAAATGCGCACTTTCTCTGTGTGGGTTCATATACACCAATGACCAGAATGAATTGCAGTATGCCTTGCAGTGTTCACGCGGTCTCTTTTGATGAGTTCTGAGGATATATGGATGAATATGAATTATTAAAGATGCACATGTTCTGGAAGTTCAGTTGAAGAGCCAAATTGTGAATTGAAGTTTGCAAAGCTTAGAATAGACATGAATTTCAAAAGATTTTTTCGTCTTTGAACTTTGCTAATAGCTCGATTAAGTTTAAAATGCACTCTTATTAAAGGTTTTAAATGGTTGACGATAATTTTAAAAACTCAGCATTTATATATGGCTAGGTTAGGGTTAGGTTAGGTTACTGGGGCCGTCCGAAAACTCACTTAGACCATGAGGTCCATTGTGATACCCTAAAGAATTTGACACCTGTCCCTATAAACACTTTGTATTGGCTACAAAGCCATTGACACGAGCTATGGAAATAGAATCTAGCTCTCTAAGTGAATAGAAAAAGTGCGACCCTAAGTAGGATAGTTTTGCGAAGGCAGGACACTGTAGCAGAAGGTGTGTTGGTAGAATAATAAAATAATATATGGCTAAAAAGCGTTTGAATTTTACCCGGCTATGCAGCTCCGAACATTTTCACCAATGAAAACGGAATTAATTTCGGATTCGGTATAAACTGAGTAATATAAACTAGCAGCAACTACAACGTGACTTGTTAAAAACAAAAATCATATAATAATTAACCCTTTTATTAAAAATCTTTATTCAGTGAGTAATATCGCAGTGATAAGTTCAAAAATAAGAAAAATCACGTAGTGAAATTTTCATCCAAGTTACGAAATTATATTCTGTCTAAATGAACTTTAATAAACTTTTAAAATATATTTGCACCTCATTCCATTTGTTTATTATTGTTGATGTGGAGATGTGCGATCGTCGGATCTATTGCGCCCCCTTTTGGGTTTAGAGTAGTTCTTTAAGCCCGGTTGCGTCAATAAAAAGTAGTATAGAATCTACTTTACAGAGTTTTATTGTATCTTCCGTAAGAATATACATTCCCAGTAGCTTATTCCGTAAGTGCATTAGTGTAAGGCATTTTAACAGCACATGTGTGGCCGAATCCTCATTCTCTTCACAGAATCTACAGTTTGCATCTGTACTCAGTCTCGTAAGGTGATATTTTAGTTTACAGTGCCCTGTAAGGATTCCTATGAAAATTCTAAGTTCTTCTTCTGATGGGTTCATACAATCCTGGTATCTCTTATTGTTATAGCTACCAATAAGTGATTTGGATTGTTTTAATCCGGATATATTATCCCAGTAAACCTTTTTATTCTGGTTATCCTTTATTTTTATGAGATTTCCATTTGTATATAAAATTATTTCGAAACGAAAGTCCCTATGATCACATTTCTCTATTTGTATGTAATAGTTCAAAGATATTGAATATCAAAAATGTTAACTTTTTAGCTATTAAAACAACATGAGTTAATTTTAAATTAATTTTTATTAATTTTCAGTTTTGTAAATTGTAAACGACAATCATACAATTTAAATTGTTTTCTTTTTAATGAATTCAATTAAATTTAATTTACGCAATATTAATTCATTTAAATCCAATATTTTCTTAATGCAATAATATTATATAATTAATTATTTTTCTGTTTGGTTTGTCCTTTTAAAAACATCATCATTAAATATAATATATTAAAATCATAAAATATGTTTTTCAATGAATTTTATTTAATTTTTCAAAACAAACTGCGCTTGTGTACGTACAGATGTAAGGGGAAGCGCGTGTTTTAAATCCTTTCGATTTTTTTCGATACAAAAATCCTTTTTCTGTATTTTATTTTGGAAAAAATTCTACAAGACTATCAAGAGAACATTTGATGGATATTGGATATTGCAAAGGGCAAATATATTACGATTTAATTTTTTTTATTTGATTTTTTGTAATATTTTTTTTTATATCTTTAAAATCTGTTCACATTGTAAATAAAATAAAGTTATAATTTTTTTTGTATATTTTTGAAAAAGGAACAAAAATAAAAAATCGATTAAAAACTTTAGTACTTTTATTTTGGCAATTTTGTTACCTTAAGACAACGACAATAACGACAAATAGCTGAGTAAATATATCCGTGCTTAGACATAATTGAATGCGTCCACTCAACTTCTTCAAATTGACATTCCAAACATGGACTTTTATAAATTCAGTTTCAGTTTTAGTTTTAGATACAAATACGAATACAAATACAAATATAAACTAAAAGAAAAAATTTCTTTTCTATTAAACTTTAGCAAAACTTTTGTCGACTTTTTTTTTTTCGGTTTTGGCAAACGAATCGCAATTCACATTTCAATTTTAACTTTTCACTACTATTTTTCTGTTCACCAATTTTCGCTACTCTTCACTTACGCCCTCTAAATTTCTCAAACCTTTCTTCATTCTTCATTCTTCATCCTACATTCTACATTCTACATTCTTCTTAATGCTAATGCTTCCTATGATTTTCCATTGTTTTAAACTTAACCTAAAAGCTTCTTAAAGTAGCTTACGGTTTCCGGTTTTGTTAGGGAGCGGCGACGATTCGGCTTGAAAGGTGTTTCAGTTTCATCCTTTAAGAAATTTCGTGTTGGTGTCACTGTCTCGGTTTGTATTTCCGTAGTATCTGCAGCAACAGTTGTTGGCGCAATAGTTGTCGTTGTTGTTTTCACAACCGCTGGTGTTGTTATTGGAGCCTTGGTAGTTGTTGTCGATGGTTGTGTTGTTGTAGTTGTTGCTACAATTGGTATATTTGTTGCTGCTGATATGGTATGTGAAGTGGAAATTGTTTTGATTTGTGTTGTTGTTTTCGTCTCGGATGCTGATGTTGTTGCAATTGGTGCATCCGTTGTCATAACAATTGTTTCCGGTTTAACTTGTTTTACAACGGAAGTTTCAGTTTGAATTTTTTTAGTTTCCGGTATTTCTGTTGTTTTTATTGCTTCATCAAGCTTCTGCACTTTTTCTTCAAATTGTTCATGTTCTTTTTGCTGTTGTTGCTGTTGTTGTTGTTGTTGTTGTTGTTGTTGTTGCTGTGTTGTAGTTGCTGACAATTCGCGCTCAAATACTTTTATTGTTGTGGTCTCATGCGCTTGATTTACTGTAGTTGTCTTATCAATTTGTATTTCTTTTGGCGCAGCTGCAATTGTTGGCATATTTTGGGCTGGTTTTAATGTTTCTGAGGGATTTGAATTTGTTGCCGTTGTTGCCATTAGAATAGTTGCAGTTGTTTGGGCAGCAACAGATTTATCGGTTGTAGTATTGTTGTTGGCTGCTAGTTTCAAGTTTGTGTTGTCTTTGCCAGTGCCAAACTGCTGTTGTGCTCTGCTCGTTTCCGCGTCTATAATTTTGGCATTGGTTGCTTGTTCTTCGCTTTTAATGACTGCAATATTTTCTGTTTGTGTTGTTTGTGCGTTGCTTATTGGTGTTGTTTCGTCTTGTTTAATTACAGTCGTCATTGCATCTGCTGTCGCTACTTTGCCTGTAGTAGTTATTGTTTCGGCCATGTCGGAAGCAGTTGTAGCATATCCTTGTTGTTCTGCTGCACTGCTATCAGCAGTTACAGTGGTTGTTGTTGGTGATTTTTCCGTGTTGTCATGTTGGATATGATGTTCACTTGGACTGTGCTCATGCTTTGTGGGTGGAACATAATGTGATTTCACTAGTAGCATAGGAGGTATAAAATGCGAATTATCTGCTGACTCTTTAACGTGTGGATGTTGTGTTTCCTCAGTGATTATATTGCTGCGTGGCTGCTGAGGATGCATTGGATGACCGATTGTTGCAGGTGGCAGAGTGGTTGCAGGAAGTGCTGTAGTACTTGGACTGTTTATCACGGTCGCGGTTGTAGTAGCAGAAGTTGCTTCTTTTGTTATGACTGTTTGTTCAGTGGTACCAATTGCAGCAGTTTTGGTTGTTGTAATTGATTCTTCTGTGCTGGTTACCATTGCTGATGCTGTTGTTGAGGGTGTAAGTGTTGTTGTGGCGATAGGCACATTAACTGTAGTTAAAATTTCTGATTCAGATTTTGTTTCATCGCTCTTACTATCTTCATCTGACTTTTCCACCGATTTTTCTGTTATTGTTGGCATTGTTTTCAGATCCTGGGGCAAAATTTTCTTTTGGTGTGGTAATAATTCCATTATTTCATTTGATACTTCATCATCACGTGCATGTTCTTGCAATTCTGGTTCACCATGTGGTTGATCGCCCATCATCATATCGTCCAGGTCAATCAGTTTTTGTTCCTTTTTCGATTTACGACTTTCTACAGTTTCCGTATACTTTTGCGTTTTCTCCTTCTTCGGATATGAACTCGCTATCACCACTTTTTTTCCAGATTTCTTTACTGGTTTGGGTATCTCACCTGGTATTTTAAAGCTGGGCTCATCGGCTTGCATAAGTTCATCGACATTGAATTGTTCAATAAGTCGTTGTACTGTATTTTTCTCAGTTGGTACTTGTTCAATAAACTCACTATTCAATCCATAATTGGGATTCAGTGGAAGTAGCTCAATATCATTGTTCTCATTGTTATCAGTTCGTATACTATTAATAATTTGCAGAGATTTGAAATGAGAATTCGTTATATCATTAATACGTTGCGTTTCTAAACGTTCTCTTGGACATAAAAGTTCACGTATTACATGTTCTCGATCCTTGAAATGTATGAAAAAATTGTTTGATAAAGTTTTACTCAATAAAGCAATGCTTTAAAACAATAATCAATATGACAATATAATTAAATAATTAATTTGAGAAAAATATTGTTGTATGAGGTTGAGTAGGTGTAGTGTATAAAAAATATTTCTAACTACAAGTAATATATAAACATAAATACCAACCTGCTTGCCTTTGCAAGTCTGTTTAAGCATGCCTTCTTCCTCACAATTTCGAATCAGTTCAATGCTTGCCGTGTCTGCCATATACTGCATTGTAAGATTAGGCATATCCCTCAATATGCAAGCGTCTGCCCAAGCTGGCACTAAAATACATTAAGTAAACGAAAAGTTTAAGTAAAAGTAAAAGAATTAATAGTAAGGTCTTTACAGCTTTTAATAAACTTACAATAAGTAAAGTGGATAAATTCTACTTCTGCTTACCTGGCATTTCGCATAAAAATGAAGCCGTTTCAGGACCACCGCACCTTAACGCATGCCAACGATAATCGCGTATTGGATCAATAACGGCACACAAAGGCGCATCCATTAAGGGTAGCGACTCAGCCCAGTAGCCAGTATCAGTTACTAAAGGACGTGAGTTGCTAAATCGAATTAAGTATATAAAAAAATGTTTTCGGTTAAATAAAATTGCACAAAAAATTAAAAAAAATCTGGAAAAATAAAGTTCTATCAAATTTTTATTATATATAAAAAATATATGAATTTTGAATGAAGTTTGCTTAAATTTTTTTGATGACTAAATTGTCTATGAGTAAGCTCATGTCTAGCCGTTAAATGCTGCTTTTTTTTTTTTACAAGGTCTGCATTTCTGTTGCTACGGAATTGAGCCCAAAGCACTGTTCATAATTTATAAAAAGTATATAAAAAAAAGATTGAATATGGAATCGTTAATTTAATTAAAATGTGTAATTTCATTTTAATTTAATATTTTTTTAGTTCTCTTTAAGAGTGAATCTGTGTATAGGTAGACTCCTCATACATTCTTTTAAAGTCTGCGTCTGCCACATTAAAAAATGTCCTTCTTTTAGTGACAATATAAGTAGCATACATGTTTCCAGAAACCATAATTAGCTAGTACGGTGGAATAATTAACAGACAAATCTATGTCATATATTGTATTAAGCTATACAGTATGTAGAATATATAAACATGTATATAAAAAATGTTATGTTTACTTAACCTCATAAGCTTTTTTAAAAAATTTATTTAAAGAAAACCAACATTTCTATATTTGCCTAACCATACAGAAGCGAAATCATGGAATATATTCCGTTTGCCTGTGTGTCCACAATTGACTTGAACATGAAGAAAGATGAGGGGTGTGCAAATATATTTGCTCTGTCATTGAGCTTGTGTCAAGCAAATGTATTTGCAAATTTAAAATAAAATTTATAACAGAAAATATATAAAATTGTTGCGACAAAAGTAGATGCGTTTTAAATGTAAAATATGTATAAATTTGTTATAAAAAATGGCGGATAGAGAGAATATATGTGGGTTGAATGAAATACTTACGACCACATAAAACGTTCCGAGCTCTGCGGTCTCATGAGTCCAATCCAAACAATGTCGTTCACATCCAATTCCCTTAAAAGGTCTCGCGTTGCATCGAATTGAAAACTGTTGTCAACTGCAATCAGTAGAGAAACAAACGAAATAAAATAGAAAATTAAGTTGATAAAAAACGTTGCCGTCAATGTATGTGAGGTTCTAGAATTACAGATACCAACGAATTACATTATGGACGGACATGACAAATAAAAGCAATAAAGATAAACACGTACTGCGTGTACTTCAGCCCAGAATACATAAAAAATTTAATAAAAGAACAATAGTCGAAATTTTATTTCATTTAATTCGGTTTGTATTCTGGGTTTTTATACTAACAGAAATGGATAAAAAATTAAATTATTGTTTCATTGATAAAAGAATTATAAACAATTTTATATTAAATTGTTATTGTTTGTATACTCAGATGCTCGTATATTGGAATACATGCTCTATAAATATTGTCGAATGTTTTTGTCCTAGAATAAAAACATTTTTTTTTAATACTATGAAAATGAATAGTTTACACAGATTTGAAAAATTAATATCAGTTTAAAGGTAAATTGTTATTTCCTTTTTTTATAAGCTTTTATAACAGCTTTAAATATGATATATAGAACAAAAATAACAGAAGAAAATTTAATTATTTGCAATGAGTTAAATATTTAATAAATATTTTAACTATTTTTTTTTTTTAAATCAACAATTCTTTTATGGAGCATTGAGTATTAACAACAAGAAAAAGTACTTTCATATATCTTCAATTATCTTCAAAACTATTATAGAAACTATTAAAATATTGTACTGTACTTTTTTATAATTCTAACTAGCTTATGATTACAAACAATTCAAAAATATAGAAATTATATGAATCAAATACTGAAACAAAAGTGAACATGGATACAAATGTGGTTTGAAAGCATCCAAATAGAGAGACAAATCTGCTCATAATGCATCTTCAAATCTAATAGTTAAAAGGTTCAATTTTATTGAAGAAGTTGACGATGTGGACTATGAGCAAGTTAAATGAGTAATAAATAACTATTCTACCTAAACCATTGTCTGGCAATATATTTCATGTATCTATTGAGCAAATTACTATAACTGCTCTATTTTGAACCGATTTATATACCTAAGATTGTTTAGTTAAATTAAAACAAACTTTATTTTATTTAGCTAATTTCATATATGGTTTTACCATTATAACTATATATTAGATAAATACTGTATATAATTATAGTATAAGGTAATTATTTGTGTGAAATCTGATATTATAGCAGTATATGTATAACATATGTAAGATGTATAATCAAAAAGTAACGAGAAATTCTTATTTTTTGTGTAATGGTTGCTAGCAATACTCTATCAGACAGCTCTGATGCTTACTTTGTGTTCGGTGCTTAGTATATTTGTCTTCTTTATGTAGAAAAATATGAACTAAAGAGTTTGTGTAAAATGTTGTGCTAAAAATTGTAAAAAAAGTCTTTGCCAACGATATTCTTGAAATGCATGTAGTAAGGTGTTTGTTAAAATTGGAACTATAATTAGCGAAATATATCAACACTTTACTACATCAACCAATGTATTGGATACCAGATAAGGTGCTTTGTAATTACTCTGATTTTCTATATTCAAAAAGACAGTCAAACGACAACGTTTCTAAACAATAGTTGCTATAGAGGCCAAATCGAGGTTGAATTCAAGATTATAACAAGAAAGATGTTAAGAGAGTTTCTCAAACTGGAAACCACTGTGATGTAAGTATCTAATATTATAATAAAAAAAATATTCGCCAATAAACACAATTCGTAAATTTATACACATATACACTGCACATATACAATTAGCTATTAAATACTATCGTCAGATCAGGCTTTATCAGGTTTTATCAGGTCAGGTTGTCATGTTGCTATCGGCTTTAGTATTATAATTGGAAATAGTGATTATATCTGTATAGATACTTTACGTACATTGTTATAGTTTAAATGAGTAACATCAGCTTAAAGTGTTGGCTTAAACAGTTTTTGTTATTGCTAATGCAATAACAAGATAATTTTGTTATTTAAGTTACAAAGCTGAAAATATCAATAGGTTAAGTTAGGTGGATCTACTAAGGTGGCCCATTGCGTTACCGCATATGTTAGAAAAACTAGGGATTGAAAACCACCTAGAACCTTTGAGTCGCCACCGTGCATGAGCTGTGCAAAAACATAGTATATGAGGGGCATCGTCTTCTCCACAGCTGGGACAGGTTTGATTGAAAGGGAGACCCAATCTTCTAGCATGGTTCCTTATTTTACAGTGGGCTGTAAGTAAGCCTACCAAAAGAACGATATCTCTACGGGGTATCTTAATGAGAGTTTTGGATTTCCTTTCGAACTTTTATTAAAAATTTCAGCACAAAAAAAAACAGAAACAGTTTGAAATAACAATAGATATCTAAAATGTCAATACATATTTTGTGTAAATTTTATGAAATTTCTTTTATAATTAAATAAAGAAGAATTAAGTGCCGGAAGTGAATTGTATTTAAGTCAAAGCTAACCTCTTTTCTTATTTGATATATCAACTATATGTTAGCTTTGGCGATGATAAATCTAATATTGCTAATAGATAGAAAATCTATTGCCTTTTCAACTACAATACAATTTTAAACATTTCAAGAAGGAATTATACTGCTGCAGTAATTCCATTGCAGCGACTGTCAGAAATTGACTGCAGGCGAGTTTCGAAAATGGTTTTCAAAATATTTGCCAAAACCGTTATATGTCAGTGTTGCTGGCATTACATTTTAGATTGTTGAGTTTAGTTTTATGTTTGTGAAGCGATTAAGTTGCATGTCAGTAGCAACTGTCGCAGTTTGCCCAAAACGATAAAACTGAAAATCAGTTAAGAAAACATTTTAAGTTTGTACTTTGCTGCATTTTGTCTGTCATTCCTGTGTCGAAGTTTGTTCAGCTTGTTGACATTTTAAGTGAAAACATTTCTGTAAGAGTTGTGCTTACATTAACTAAACAGCAACTATACCATTTTATCTACATTTATTTACCTTCCCACGATATTTTAAGTAAAACTTAAAAATTTCGTTTGGTAAAAACTTGACAGGATTCTATGTGTAGTGGACGAAACTTTTGATTTGATACAGCCATCGACTTGGAAATTTTCTGAATTGAAAAATTTTTAACAGTGCTGGGGAGTTTCGTAAATGTCTAATATACCTTTTGGTTGACTGAAGTTGAGGTGGGTGTTTGTTTAAGGATATGTCACGACAGATGCTGGACATTTGCGCCACTGCCGCATTGTCAAATATACTTATTTCCATTGGCTGCTATTAACATTTTATCTATTTCTTTATCTGCAGTTAAGATTTTTTTGGGTTCATTTTGTATCTTTTTTTAACTATTTGTGCAGTTTATTGAGTTTTTCTCTGCCATGTTCTTTATTGAGTCTCTTTGTGTTTGTATCTTTTATTTGTCTGTTTTGGGTAAAAACTTTCAGTATACTGGCTAATAGAATAAAATAAGCAGGGTATTTTTTTGTTGATAATTTTGCCAACAAAAAAGGGTTCTCTTTAATTGAATTACCATTGTGCAATTTACTTCCTTTTTATATTTACCTTACCTATACCTTACTTATAGAATTTATATAAAATACAAACCTGTAACCAAATTAGCATGATGAAATTGGCAAACAGCATCTGCCTCAAACCAAGATATTCGGTCACGGAAAAAGCGATAGAACACATTTAGACCTTCCTGCGGCATTGTCCAAGTATTGCTAACATTAACCTGTAAATAAAGTAAAAAAAATTTAAATTATTAATAAATAATCGATAAACAGTGTGGGCAGATACGTATTAGTTATAAAACGGTTATAAAAGTAAAGTAAATTAATGCGCAGATTTTGTTAAATTATAAGCTTAAATTCATATTTTTATGCATTAATCCGTCAACATTCAAGTCGAATAATGCATTAAAAATAGTCTCTGAACAAGGAAAGAATGGCATGGAAAATGGAAATCTCTGTGAAGCAAAAGTTTGAAGACGTGCTTGGCTTGCTGTTTAAACGCAAATCCTGTAAACCGCTGAACAGTCGTTGCCGCAGTGTGAAATTTCTCTTTGGCTTTGTATCCTTATTTCTCGCTGGCTTAGTTTTTGCTACAGACGCCGCAGCTTTAACAGCAATTACTTCTGTTCCAGAAAGGATTGAAGCACAGAATTCACCAATGAATAAAAATCCCTTTTGGCGTGAATGTCTGCAACAATTTTTTATGATAATTAAGAAAATGCAAATTCTTGGTGTGTTGCTGTGGGTTATTTGGTTTGCATGAATTTTAAAATACTTTCCACTTTGTGATGTATTTTTTATTATATTTCTATTTTACGCTTACACTGCTTTGAGTTGCAAAAACCTTAAACAAAATCAGTTTGTTTAAGGATTTTAATTAAAACATGTGAAGCTGCTTATGCTGCTGTGGCATATTAGGTTTTATTAGTTCGTCTTACTATTTACATGACGAGAACTTTGTATCAAACTACAGCAAAGTATTAGTTTGTAGATAACAATGTTAAAAGGTGCCAGTATGTGCTTCAAAATTGTGTTAAACGATTATTTTGTTAAAAGTTTAAAAGTTTGCATACATTTAAAGCAACTAATCTTTTCAGAAATTAATGAGAATTCAATAATGGAAAACATACAGTATAGAAATATTTTGTATGTATATCCCTAAGCGATTCTCATAAGCTAACATTATTTTTGTATACTAATTTATTTTACATTCTTCTAACATGACTTTAAAATTCTTACAGCTTCGTTAAAGTTGTTTATAAATTCTAATTTTTACATATTAGAATTAGTATCCCAACCACACTTCATTAGATGACCTTAAAGAAAATATAAAATAGACATACTCCTACAATAAAATCTTCAAACATTTTTTTTAAGTAATAATGTTATTTAACATATTGTACTGAACTAATTTCATATTAATCACCACACAAAAATTTATTGATACTTAGAGATACCAAAACCATTTATATAGACTTGTAAGAAGTATCATCTAAAAAATAGATGGGTTTCGTAAATCTAAAGAGGGATTCAAATTCTATTTTTATGAGCCCCTATTTTGTGACAACGCATGATTTATTTTTAGTAGGAACATTGGTACACTGCAATCTATTACATCTATTAGATTATATTAGGAGAGAGTGTCTACTAAGTTAACATGGAGAAATTAAGATTATGAAAAAACTGAATATTAATTTTTCTTGATTCTGGACTTCCGAATTTATTCGATTCAGTGAAATTCAAATAAATATACGAAATTTTGTCCCTTACAATTGCATGGTACTAGTAGATGAAATAGACGGAATTTTCTTTTTGTATTCCACAGAAACTGCGAATGTGGGTCTCCTTAAACTTTGAAAGATGGTGGTTCTAAAGTCTTCTTTATTCATATGTTTTGCAATATAACCGTGATAGCGTTAATGCAAATCGGGCATACTTTTACGAATTTGTGTAAGGTAAATTGTTCAACCTAAGAGGTTTTGCTTATCGTTTTTTTGCTAAATTCCAACCGGATAGCATTTTTGCTGTTATCTCATGTAGTATATTATTGTCTCCAACATATTTATAATCCATGACTTCAAAACTTCTTTTTAATTTTATAATATGTCTATTTCGTGAGGTTACCATTTAACCAAAACTATTATCTTATATGAAAATAATGGATAAATTAATATACTACGTTGTTTTAATAATGTATCTGATGTACATTGTGACCGAAAGGTTTTCGGAGGTTCTCATTTAAAATTCGCGCGCTGTATATTTTTCGATATTTTAAGTTATGTAGTTTGGCAGCACTGTCCTTAATTACTATGCCAAAAATGAGCGCGATCTGTCAGAACAGTTCGTTTACGGCAGCTGTTGAAACCAGTTCACCTCAGTAGTGCGTTGCGAAAAAAACAATGGAAAAAAATATTGAACAAAGAGTTTGCATCAAATTTTGTTTTTCGAACGAAATTTCGTGTGCAGAATCGTTGCGAATGCTACAAAAGGCTTATGGGGAATCAGTTTTATCGAAAACTCAAGTTTATGAGTGGTACAAAGCCTTTCAGGACTGTCGTACGACCGTCGAAGACATGCCGCGTTCTGGACGACCTTCGACCTCTACCACCGACGAAAACATTGAAAAGGCAAAGGAAATCGTGTTCAAAAATCCTCATGTGAGTGTTAGAGAGATAGCACGAGAGCTAGGCATCGGTCGTGAGATGGCTCGTTTGATTTTGGTGGACAATTTGTGTATGCGACGTGTCAACGCCCGGCTTGTTCCGATTCACCTCAATTTGTTCAACATTATCAACGATTTTAAGGCCAAACATTCAATAAATACCATCGAACAGCCACCGTATTCACCTGATCTTGCACCGTGTGACTTTTTCCTGTTTCCCAACCTCAAATTACCACTCAGAGGAACGCGTTTTGAATCCATAGAAGACGTAAAACAGAATTCGCAGAGGGAACTCAAAGCCATACCGGAAAGCGCCTATAAAAATGTTTTAATGATTGGAGAACGTTGGCATTGTGTATCGGCTCTAATGGAGCATAATTTTTGAAGGAGATAAAATAAATATTGATGAAGATTAAGAATTTTGCGTTTTATTTATTTATGACCGGAAACTTTTCGGTCACAATGTACAGCACCACTATCATATTTAGTTTTCTCTTATAAGTATTTGTTGTACCAATTTTCCTGTTACTTTGATATATATGTCTACTGTCATTATAACTCATTATCCTTAACGATGGGTTTTTACTGGTACAAAAAACAGGATATAGCTCGTTTAAATAAATTTCGCGATGATTAGTCAATGTTTCTTTAAATAAGAAACCGGTTAATAATTTACAATAAATTGTTTCTTATAAAAGCTTCTTAACTAGTCATTATATTCTTCTAACCACTGTTCTATGTTTAATCTCAAATATGTAAGCTCATTCATCACTTCAAAGTCATATCATCCATATTGAATTTTGGTCTAATATAGCTTTTAGTGGGTCCTGCTTATGTTTCTGTAAGTGCTTTTGTACTATTTTTCCTGATGGTTCTGGGACATTTATGCAATTAAATAGTTTAATAATTAATTTGCTTGCAAAAACTATGTACATAATTAAAATCATTAATTTTTGCTGTAGCGATGTAATATTTCCTTTGGCCTATTTAAATTTAAGTGGTTAAAAAAAATGTGAAATGACAGATGAAAGAGAGTCCTAAAAACATATCTTAAAAAACGAACTTAAAAAAAGAAAACACAAAAATAGCTTCATTGCTTTGACATACAAAAGGAAGATAAAAAATGTATAAAAGCGCCATTATCCTTAATTTGAAATCATGGCGTAAAATTATGGTTCGTTTGCTGAAAACGTTTATTTATTCTTTATTTTTTTATTTTTTCCCGACTAGTCTAAAAATATAAATTATATTTCAGTTGGAAATATTCTGTTCACTTTTGTTTATTTTATTTCTTCCTTGACTATTCTTCATTTGATTTTTTTGCCGTTGCAATGTTAAAACACAAATTATTATCACTTCAGGGAGTTAAATATTGTACAGCATAATTCAAGAAAGAATCTGTTGAACTCAAAGGACGAACAGCATGTCGTGTCATCAGCGGAAACTGAAGCAGGGTACTGCTTAATAATAACAAGGATAATACAAGGTCGATGATATTGGCTACTGCAGTGCATTGTATGGATAATATACTGTACATTATATTAAATTTTTATTTTTATATACGATTAAAATTACGAATAAAATTGCAACTTGTCCACGGGAGTAAAAAATAGAATTGTATGTATGAAGTAAAAATTACACTAAATTACTTGGAAGAAAGTCGGAGTGCGTCACAATGTTTGCATTTAAATTTACTCCGCCAGTAACTGTCTTCATCGAAATTGGAAAAAATTTATTTATATTTTATTTTCTTTATACTTCTTATAGATCAGCTAATTTGAATAAATTGCACTGCAATGCAAAATCCTGCAATTTTTCAATTTTTTTTTGTATATTGTGCATCTGTGCAGTAAAACTGCAATGAAGCGTAGAGTTAAGTCACTGGATGCTGGCGATGTGTTGTTGCCATACAAATTTGTGTAAAAGCGCAACAAAAATGCGGGGAGCAGATACAAAACTGAAAAAGTAATGCAGCAAAATAAATTCGTATATTCACGATATGAATGGCATGCAATATTTGAATGTCAAAGTAAGGATATACGAGTGACAAGTAGTCAAACAAGCTAAAACGACAAGAGATAAAGTGCAACGCAACAAAAAGATAATGAAAACTACAAATGTGATAAATAAAGTGATAAAATGTAAAATAAATAAAATATCGAAAGTTATATGCATATTGAACATATCACACGTGACTTTGAAATATTAAGTGGATTTCAATATTTGTTTGTGTAGCAGTTGAAAATGCTTTGAATTTTATTTTATAGAATTTATAAGTTATATTTATCTATCAAAATTTTAACTTCAAGTTAAAACAGTTTAAAATGTTGTATTAAAGATTAATATCTATTTGTTTATTAATTATAAACTAAAAGAAACTATATATAAATTAACATTAAGCAGATATTTGTTTATAAGTTCATTTATTTTAAATGGTAAGAAAATTTATTCATACCTCATTGAAGTGCCTTGAAGATACAGTAGTGTTATGATGGAAATTCTACTAGAAAAATTCTACTAATTGAAATTCTACTACTACTAATTATACTACTTAGTACT